TCTCATGCCGACGGCGCCGCGGCGCCGGGACTGCAGGTGCGAGGGCTTTTGCGACGGTGAACATACAACGCTTCCGCTACCGAGGGCTCGCGCGCTGTACCCACCGCGTTCATGCACGCATGCATCCCTTCGTACGTAATACTGGCTTGGTGTATACTTTAATATTTACGCATCTATAACAATACATAGATAAATAACTCTATATAAAATGAGTTATATATAAAAGCATGCAGATAGAAACATGCATATATGAGGCATCGCACATACGCAAAATATGGTGCTCATATAGAAAAGATAGATTCATACAAAATATTACAGACACATGAAACACAAATCTAAAACATTCTGCATATAACATTCTCTATATAGCACATATATAAAACATTACAAACAAAATATTATAGACACAAGAAACAAAACATTCTGCATGCAACATTCTCTATACAAAAGCATATGTAACACTATATATACACATATACATCTATTATCCATGTTTTATAAACAGAATATAAATTCATTATATATAAATATGTAAAACACTGATGCATAAAAATGTATATATGAATATGTATAGGTGTGTGCGCATTTATATGTATAGATGTGTAATGTATATTCACATTTATCAAATATACCATAGAATGTTAAATTTGATACAGAAAATAACTATATGTTCGTGCGTATTTTAATGTGCTTTTCTATGTAACATCATTATATAGAATCGTTCATATATAAATTCTTTCTATATGCGAACATGCTCTTCATGTGTATTCTATGTATTCGTATGTGTACTTTTATATAGAGAGATGTATGTACGTGTACGTACGTGGATGTACGTGTGTACACGTATCTGCATATATACATAGGCTCATATATACATACATACTTGTGTGTATGTACACTTATATGTGTGAGTATATAATATATAAAAAGAGATGCAGGTACACGGCTATTATTACTACTGGCGTACACAACAACTGCCCCCGCGGAGCCGGGCGCGGCGGCGGGGGGCGCCCATCACCGCGAGGCCGGGG